CCACCCTGATTCAATGAGTGACTCTATACACATTTGCATTGGTTGCTTGACTCGACACATGGATGAAATCAAAGTGGAAGAGACCACGATATGCACTATTGTAGTGGATAGCGTCATGGGCCTTGTTTTCTGAAGGGCAATATCTTCAAGGATATTGGATGTGGAGACATGTCGTCTTGACAAATTTTATATTTATTGATCTCTAATCAGAAATCATTCATACTCGTATACATGATTCCGTAGATAGCACAATTGGACTGCATTTTGCAATTTGGAACTATGAATTCTGGCTCCTCTGGAAAAACACTTATAGGCATAAGGAAACTAAAGGCACATACGTTGTTTTTAAACCGGGCTGGAATTTATAGTTGCAAATTGCAAAATGTAGTCCAACTGACCCTAGAGTACCTGTATAGCGAAAGTATGGACAGAAATGAAACTCCGAAAATCCATCAGGCCTTCACCGATGCTTCTGCGAATAAAGTTAGGGCCCAGAAATGCAGCCAACCTATGAATTTCAATTAGCCAGAACGATTTTTTACTAATACTATTGTTACGAACCGTCGTTTATTAAGCACGTGTTTGACTCAGTTTTTGCATAAATTTACTCAATTTCGCGGAAGAACGCTCATTTCTGTACATTCTTGGCCATCTTGGTTAGAATTGGAATCTGCAGAATGGCAGTGAAATTTTGTGCGTTAGAGGTTGGTTAGAAGGGTGGCTGCACTTTTGGGCCCTAAGCCCTCCATGAAGCGATCTGTCCATACTCTCGCTATACAGGTACTCTAACTGACCCATTCCATTGGTGCATTGATTTGAGCGCTTTACTTAATTTTCTGTGCATAATTCTTTCGTAAAAAAGTTGAAAGGGATCAAAGATTCCTTTCATAGTAACTGCAAGGTGGGTCCCATCATTTCCTCAAACGAGGGCTGAAATCATTTTGAATTTATGGTGTTTCAATAACTAAATATTCAGAGACCTTACACTCATATTCAGCTGCGCGATTTTGGAATTGATGATTCCACTCTAATGGCACGTCTCATTTTCATTACTTTTTTTTTTTTTCTGTTGTTTAATGGCTTTGTGACTAAGCACCTGCAGCCAACTTTAGACTAGTGTGTTTCGTGTAATTTTCATTACTTCAGTGGTCAAACAAGTTTCTTTTAACCATACAACAACCCTTCGGGTGTAGAAGAGGGGAAATCGACCGAACATGAATGGCAACTGTTTGAAACGTTGCCGAGTTTATCAAAAAGTCCAATTTTTCGAGACCTCATTTTCTTACAAATGCAAATGAAAGATGGTTCCTCAGATTTGGTCTTTTGCGTCGCCACCACTTCGAAGGATTGCAAATTTGGAGCTTGTTATTTGGAGAAACCAAAGCATCAATCTCTAATTTATAAGTCAAGCCGTAAAACAAAACTCAACCCTTAAAGCCTTGCAAAAATATATCGTATGATATAATAGATTCATTGATCTAGAGTTACAGAGTAGAGGTACAGAGCTAGTAGACAAAATGCATTGAGCCGAAGCTGTGGCGTGGACTTTTGAGCAAACCGGGAACGTGGCGTGAACAGTGGCGTGGCGTGCGATACATCGATTGGACTACATTTTGCAATTTGGAACTATAAATTCTAGCCCGATTTAAAAACAACGTATGTGCCATTAGTTTCCCTATGCACATAAGTGTTTTTCCAGAGGGGCCAGAATTTATACTTCCAAATTGCAAAATGCGGTCCGATTGATCTGCCGTTTAAACCTACGGAAAGGATCGATAAACAGGATGGTAGCAACTAACACCTGAATAATCGATACTTTAGCATAGCCTCAAACGGAAAAATATCGATAATCGATCATCCACGTCTCGCCACAGGGCGTGAAAGAGAAGGGGTGATCGATTTATCGATTAATCTGCCGTTTAAACCTACGAAAAAGGATCGATAAACAGGATGGTAGCAACTAACACCTCAATAATCGATTCTTTACCATAGCTTTAAACGGAAAAATATCGATAATCGATCACCCATGCCTCGCCACTGGGCATGAAAGGAGGGGTGATCGATATATCGATTGATCTGCCATTTAAACCCACGAAAAAGGATCGATAAACAGGATGGTAGCAACTAACGCCTCAACAATTGGATGTATTTCTGTCAAACGGAACTATGTGCATTAGGACGTGAGCTCTGTCATGCATATATTCTTATGGGTCTCAGGGCTCATGTCTTAATGCACATAGTTCCGTTTGGCAGAAATACGTTCAATTGATTCTTTAGCATAGCTTCAAACGGAAAAATACTTCTGGAAAAAAAAGACATTGGATCTAGAGTCCAGACTCTTGAAAACTTTGACAAGAAAAAGGACTCTTGATTCAAGCAGATTTAAGCTTAAATCAAAAGGAAATCCGCTCAAATTAAGAGGTTTGGTACTTGATTTAAGCTTAAATCTGATTGAATCAAGAGTATCTTTTCTTGTCGATGTTTTTAAGAGTCTAGACTCTAGATCCGATGTGTTTTTTTTACCAGTGATCGATAATCGATGACGCACGTCTCGGCACTGGGCGTGAAAGAGAGGGGTGATTAGGGGTTGGCGGGGGTTAGTGGGGTTGGGGACTCTGGAGATGCACTCTAAGGGTACGGTGAGTTGCGGCTAGCGGTTGGAAAAACAAGGGCAATCCGAGAATGAAGTCGGGTCATACGTCATATCACCATATCCAACGGTGGTCATCGTAACAACGGCCCACCAGAATGCATCCGGAATTGATTTGAAGTACGAATTGTCCGAGCCGGCCTCGGCAAAATAAACGGCACTGGAAAACAAGACGACACCTGCGACACAAAACAGAGAACTCGGTGAAAATCCGCCGTAACCATCCGCTGTCAACACATCCTCATCGTTGTCAACTGGATTCGGGTCCATTCCCGCCGGCTCCCATATTCGACGCGGCCAACCGTTGAGTTACCGCTGAGTGAACGTTGAGTTATCGCTCGCGTTGGGCACATCGTTGAGTAATCCCGTTGACTCGTCAGACAACCGTTGAGTCCTGGGCGGATAAACGTTAAACTATTATAGCTGTGTATTGGCTCAGTTGAGGATGAGTACGTCGTTGAAAACCGAGGAGTGACGGCTAACCCGCTGATACAAACCGCCCCACCAAATTCCCCCGAAATCTTTCTGCATGGATCTGTTTGCTGGTAACTCGTGCACGGAGAAGAAAAAACACGGTTTTTCGACGGTCACACGGTAGTAATGTCACACGGGATTCCGCGGTAGTAAAACTATGGATTTTGGTAAGAATATTGATGAACATAGTAGCATAACCATGCTTGTGGTAGCATTATTGTGCTCACAGTAATATTACGGTGAACACAGTAACAGCACCGAGTTCATCATTACAGTCATCAAAATCCACGGTTCTACTACCGTGAAATACCGTGAGACATTACTACCCTGGTAACCGTCAAAAAACCGTATTTTTTTTCTCGGTGTGGTTTGGAAATTAGTTTTTCCATCCCCCCCCCCCCCCC